GTACAGTATAAAAACCATTACGCCTATGGAATGTCCCCATTTAGATAGCTAAGTAAACGTGTGTGTGTGTGTGTGTGTGTGTGTGTGAGTCCTGGTCACAAGGTATTGCATGTGAGCTGCTGTTGCAGCTGCAGTGGGTCCTGAATAGTGCATTTTTGCTGACAGCATTCCTGGCTGTATACGCAGTTGCACAACTACCTGTTTATCAATGAGTTTCCACTGCAGGAACACACACATATGAGTGTGAAATTAGGTCATTCTAAACATAATGGTGCAGTCTACTTTTTTTAGATTAACAATGATATTCCTATCAGCAGTGATTCTGATCAGGTCTTAGCATAAAATGTCCCATAACTTGTACAAAACAATGCAATATATTAAGTGATATAAAGATATACATATTAAGTAGAAAGAATGGAATTCTGTTACAAATCCAATAAATAAACCATTATAACCAATTAATCCACATCCATCAATTATAGTAACAAATGTAGTTCTAAATGTAGCATTTGTCTCTAGAAATATATTAATTTTACCATTTGTACTTTTGTGTAATATTGTGATTGAGGTAGGTATAAAATACTTCCTAAAACAATTATACTTGCACAGGCAAAATTTACCATCTAGATTAACAGCTCATGTGTATATAGTACTGAAAGAAAAATTTGCAACCACAATGCAGCGTTACATCACTAAACTGACGTGCATGACATAAGCAGCCTATTATACCTTTGAAGGCTAAAGTTTTTCAAATATAAATTTTTTACAATATCACACTTAAGATCCGATTATTATAAACCAATAAAAGCAGTTTTTATATTTAATACGAATATTATTTATTTCTTTGCATGCATATTCAACGGGCATAACGAGTTAGGAAACAACAGACAAGCTTTACGTTATGGGTAAACCAGGTTCTTTTCAAAACATGCTGTGATTAGACAGAAAATACAGACACATATTCATCAGTGGAATGAAAACTATGTTATTTACAGTAGCATTGACTGGGCCCACAGCCACACTCCCTCCCCTCCAGCAGAGCTGCTGTACGATATAAATGTGAGACACAGCCGTCAGCCGTCTGGCCAGAGATGCTATGAGCTCCAACATGAGGGCACTGGGACTGATTATTGTAACTCTGCTGCTGCTGACAGCGGGTGAAGGTACAGCTGCATGTAAACAATACAATACAAGTCTTGATCTATTATTCAAAGAAATGTGATGTGCATTTGTTGATACGACTTGCTGGCAAACACTACAGTTATGACTGCTGGACAATATGGATTGTGGCTTTGCTCATGTTTTAACTCAGTTTGAACTTTTCCTGAAAGCTGATGACATAGATGTGCAGGGCTGGACTTGTGGATATCGAGGGCTGTGCAGGAAGCACTGCTACGCGCAGGAGTACATGATTGGCTACCATGGTTGCCCCCGAAGATACAGGTACTCAAACGTTCTTCAGTGGACGTCATTGCTTAGATTTTGTTTTGTATTGTTTTGATGGTTATTGCATGCTGTGAATTACATTATACAATTATTTTTGTACAAAATTGTTGCATAAATTCACTTACAATTAGTGCTGTCAAACGATTAATCGCGATTAATCGCATACATAATAAAAGTTTTCGTTTACATAATATATGTGTGTACTGTGTATATTTATTATGTATATATATAAAAGCGCACACATACAGCATATATTTTGAAAATATTTTCATGTATATTTTTATATTCATATAATGTATATTATATATAAATATATTTATTATATAAACATATTTTTTCTTAAATATATACATGCATGTGTTTGCATTTATATACGTACATAATAAATATACACAGTACACACACACATATATTATGTGAACAAAAACTTTTATTTTGGATGTGATTCATTGCGATTAATCGTTTGACAGCACTACTTACAATGGAAGACTATGTCAACAAAAATAAATAATTAAAATGTAAACGTAAATCTCCCTGCATAAAAGTAAATCTTAACAAAATGTTTTTCTTCTCAATTTAATATTTCATTCTAAACTTTATATTTCTCAATATATTTATTCTTTTTTAGGTGCTGTGCTTTGCGATTTTAACCTTTATGAAGAAGCTCCTGGCGTGCCAAACCTCTTCTTTCACAGAACATTAGAAATGCTGTGTTGATTTACGAATGTCAGCATAAAGGTGTGGTCACATTAGCCAAATTTTGCGTGCAGAATGGTCTATTGTCAATAATGTAGAGATATATGAAGCCACTTTCAAAACAAGCAGTTTTCTGTTGGTAACTAAGGCGAAATCGCGTTAATTCACAAGAGTGAAATCTGCTTCGCGAATGTTTTCGCTCTCATGCAAAACTCCTGATCCTGCAGAGATTCGGACTGGATTTCGTCCGCAAAACAGTAAATGTGACCGCACCTCAAGAATGATTTCTGCTGCAAAATGTCACCAAACGTTTGCACTCTTCTGTCACCACCTCAAGTTAAACCATCACCTGATATAAGACAAACACAGCAAAATTTACAGCTAATAAGATACACATTTTGATTGTCAAAAGGATCAGCCAATATGCACTCAAAATAGATTGATCTATTGTCTATTATTCGACTGGTCACTGTATACGTGCAGTAGAGTGTTTGGTATTTGCTCTAATTGGATTAATGGAGAAAGCTGCTCAGCTTTGGTTTTCAGGGTATGACCTGCATTGAGCAACAGAGTTCACTGACCTACATAGGCCTATCTAGTAACAGCTAGCAAACAATCCCATCCAACACATAGAGAGCAAATGCAAGTTTAATGTCTTTTAACAGTTCGGTCATGAAGCAGCTGGATTGCTGAATGCTTTGTGTTGTATTTTTTTGGTATTTCAATTAAATAAAAATTAACTATTAAAGATATACCGTTTTTCTTCAGAATGTCAGTTGTGTAATAAAATATATGTGCAACTTTTTCTCAAAATTGTAAGTTATAATGTCAGAAGTGCGAGATATGAACTTGGAATTGCGAATTTATATATTGCAATTAAATATCTCGCAATTCTGACTTTATCACAATTGCGTGAATATATTCCGCAACTCTGACTTCTTTTCTCAGAATTGTGAGATAAAGGCTTGCAACTGCGAGTTAGAATCGCAAGTCCAATTCTGATGAAAAATAGCTTACAATTATGATATTTTCTTTCTTTTTTTAACTGCGTGCATGAAGTCTGAATTGCGATACATAATCTCTAAATTCTGAGGAAATAAATCAGACCTGCTAGTTGATATCTTGCAATTCTGACTTTGTAACTCACAATTATGAGTTTATATCGCACAATTCTGTCAGAACTGCGAGATGTAAATTCTCAATTGCAAGATAAAAAGTCGCAATTATCTTTTTTAATTTTTTTATTCATTGGCAGAAATGGGCTTCCATAGGCCCTCATGTTATGTTAAGCCATTTAAAAATTATGACCAGCTGAAAAAAAAAAATCTCGAAAGGTAACCTATTCGCCTGACTATTTCATTTAAAACGTAGCCTAATGTGTATTATGTAAATGCGTGGGACTTTGAAATCGGTCATATTCAGATTTAAAATATAAATAAAATATATTTCCACCTAGTCCAAAGGTGGAGTGTAATTAATGTGGTGTATTGTTTGCAGTGTTTTAGAGGCACGTGCAGGATCACATTCACAGATCCACTTTTTTTGGATGGGGCCAAATGTCATTCCATCTGTGCATAATGCATATGCTAGTCGGTCAGCGTGTTAGAAGCACAATGGAACAAACCCCCACAGATCTGTTTACACGGGCTCTTCCGTCACAATAATGTCTAGGCCACAGACTCACTTTCAGAGTATACAAGGCCCATGCTAAAAATACTACTAGTGTTTTTCAGATATCATTTTTTTGCACCTCACTTAAAGTTGTTATACGTTATGTAAACTAACATGCAAACCTTACAGTTGATTTTAAAATTGTAATGTAATGTAACTATTTTTGAAAAAAAGTGTGTGTTGGGGGGGGGCAGCACATGCAAAGACTGTGGCAACTTTAACATTTGAAAGGATACTATGGCGAAGTTATCGCTTTCCTTATTCAAACTGATTTTTTTTTTATTAATATATGGTTGACCTGAAGAATGAAAGCTATATCATACACTTGGAAAATTATGAGCTATATCACCGCTTATCGACACTAGGGGTGTGACACTTGGTTCACTAGAACGAGACAATATTTCAATACTATTTTTAAGAACTGCAAGAACTTTAAGCCCGGGTAAATACATTCATTTCACCTCCGAGCAGCATGAAATACTGTGTAAACACCCAAAATGCCACTTAAAAAGCGCTACTGTGCCACCTTTGCAGTGTAATGTTACTGTAACTTTAAAAAAAAAAAAACAGTGGCTTAAACTAAACGTTGAAACCATTTACATGGTGTATTCCTATTTTTTTTTTTTTATAATTATGACTAATACAGTAATAATCCTGTCATGTAAATATTCAATTGGAATATGAATTTTTGACTGGAAAATGAGTGGCCAAAAAAACCAAAACAACAACAACAAATCAGATCTGGAAAAAGTTACTAAAATACAATATTGACATCAGAACAGAAATGTAAAAATGCCTTACTTTATTTTGTAATTTTTTCTTGTTTGATAACAGGCACATACAATATGGGTAGCTAAAGCTGAATATCATTAGACAAAAATGCTAGGAATCCTTTGTTGAATTCAGCAAGCCTAATATTTCACAATACAGAGAAACAAACTGCATCCAGATGTACTGTTCTTTCCAAATAAATTATAGATAATCTACTTGAACATTTTTGTTGACAGAACACCAAAAGAAAACCAGGAATTTAAGGTCCATTCACTCCTGAGTGTGAAAACAGGTCAAAACTGATCCAATGCTCAAAAAAAGGAACATAAAACGATTATCCCTGGTTTAAGCTTAAATGGCCGAACATAAAAGTATCAAAGCGGCAAAGGGACAACACAACAGATGGACAAAGTCCCTTTTTTGCTTGTCATTGTCACTCAAAGCCTAAACAAGTAAACTTCAGAACAGACAAAAAATGTGCAGATTGAAAAGACACATTTAATAAGGCTCGGGACAAAATAAAAACTTTATGGGAACTGTTCTTGATTACGAGGAATAAAACAAAAAAACATATAGACCAAATTTTAATTGTAGGGTGAACTATTTCTTTAAAGTGATCCTTTAAATTGAACTAAAATCGAATTATATTGTAGAACATTGTTTTTCTTATCTATGCTTGTTGTAGAAATGTCTGGATTTTTAATAAGAGCATTAAATTGAAGCACCAAACTGAAGTTGCATTAATAAAAAAAAGGTTAACAAAACAAAAAAAACTGGACCATTTCTTTAACAGAAGCAATAAAAAAAACACTGTTGACCTTATGTAATGTTACAGCTGTGAGCTGAACTCTGATAACACTCACTAGATGAATAACATCTGTGTTTTGTCCCACTAAAGCCACCGTTACTGTGTGTGCTGGGTCGCTGAAGGCCGGTGCCGTCAAACGTTACTTTGTCTTCTTGTCTGTGGCCAGTGTGTCATGAAGCTTTGAGATAGATTTCTCATATTGGTCCATCACCAGCGTCCCATCCTCGTCGAAGAACACCCCGACTGACCTCGTAAACTCCATCTCCCTCGACTGCTTGGTTTTCCCATCAGTGAAACAAATTCTTAACGTATACTGGTCATCAAACCTAATGGAAACAAGTCCGTTAGTTGCAACCAATTTAGAAAAATTGCACATCAGTATGTTTTTTTTTCTCTCTCTCTCTCTGAAGAATGGCATTGCTATGCAGTAACTAAGGTGCAGTAACTAACATTTATGCTTAGGGGTTTGTTCTACCACCTAGTGCTGTGCAATACTGACAAAAAATAAAATCTTGATATTTTTGATGCTTTTAGGCAATATTGTGAGTGTGTTTTAATGTTGGCACCATGGATTAGGCCTGCCAGTAGGTGGCAGCACAATCCTGTCTTAATGACTGACTCATTGAATCATTCATTCAAACAATTTGTTCAAAACGTTTGATTCATTAAGAAACAAAGCAAATTCCTTTTTATGAACGGTTCATTGAATTATTGAGTCAAATAAATTCAAGTACGATACGTAACAGTTTTGCTCCAACGTTTTTGGAACTATTTTTGTATGGAATTTAGGGCTGCAAAGATTCCTTGATTCTATTCGAGTATTTGATTTTTTTTTTAAATGCTCAATTTCATTTTGCCCATGCCGAGTAAGCGGCAAAATACCAGAAGTGGCACATTCTGAGAATCCACGAAACGCAAGTTTCAACCCTCACTCTGAGTTTACACGTTTTGTTGTCCACACATATTCAAGAAATTACAGTGGATGTAGCTTTCCTGTCGCAAAGAAATTGGTTTAAAATATTAAGGATTAAGTGGGCATTTGAATTAAATGATGTTTGGCCAATATTAAACAAAGGTTTAGATTGCGCAGTAAAGTGTAAAGACAGTTCTCAGGCCGTTGGCGCCCTCTGCAGGCATTTGTTATAATGCATAATGTAAGTTAGCTCTATTGTTTATAATACATTATGTATTTTAACAGTTTTGTTCTCATTATATATATATATATATATATATATTATAAGTAATTTCAAGGCCATTTTTCACTTGGGTCTATTTGTATTACTACAAAAAATATATATAATTATATTAATCATCCTAATTATCGACCAATTACTCGATTACCAAAATAAACTTTAGTGACAGCCCTAATGGAATTACTTTTATATCTTTTTTTATTCAATCAAATAAAACTGTGTTTAAGAGCAAAAGTAATTGTATTGTAATTAAAAAAATTCAAAGATGGCAAACTATTGCTAAGAATTTATTAATTACTAGTGCTGTCAATCGATTAAAAAAAAAAAACTAATTAAAATCACAAATTTGCGATTAATTCCATCTAACATTAATGTTTTTAAATGTACTTCTATATTGCAATAATTTCACATTCAATCTTCAAATTAATGTAGAAACAACATAAAGACAGTATAAGCTTCCGCTTCATGTAAACAATGCATGCGCATGGTGCTGCTGCTTACGTAACGCACATGCGTCAACACGCGCATGTGTCGTTTACATGAAGCGGAAGCAAGTGCGTGCGTCCTGATACTCTCTCCACAATGGCGGCGCACCGCTGCAGATGGGATGAGGAGGAGAAGAATTGTTGAATAAAGTTATTTTTCTTTTCTTTGCACAGAAAAAAGCATTCTCGTAGGTTCGTAAAATTACGGTTGAACCACTGATGTCACATGGACTATTTTACCGATGTCCTTGCTACGTTTCTGGGACTGGGAACACTGCAGTTGTATTGCGGTCTATGGAGGGTCAGAAAGCTCTCGGATTCATCAAAAATATCTTAATTTGTGACCCTGGACCAAAAAAAGAGTCATAAACCAGTGTCAATCTTTGTACATCATCTGAAAGCTGAATAAATAAGCTTTCCATTGATGTATGGTTTGTTATGATAGGACAATAGTTGGCCGAGATACAACTATTTGAAAATCTGGAATCTGAGGGTGGAATCAAAATACTGAGAAAATTGCCTTTAAAGCTGTCCAAATGAAGTTATTAGCAATGCATATTACTAATCACAAATTAAGTTTTGATATATTTACAGTAGGACATTTACAAAATATCTTCATGGAACATGATCTTTACTTAATATCCTAATGATTTGTGGCATAAAAGAAAATTCGATAATTTTGACCCATACAATGTATTTTTGGCTATTGCTACAAATATACCCCAGCGACTTAAGACTGGTTTTGTGGTCCAGGGTCACATTTGTGTTCCAAAGATGAACGAAGGTCTTACGGGTGTGGAAAGACATAAGGGTGAGTAATAAGTGACAGAATTTTCATTTTTGGGTGAACTAACCCTTTAATAAACTAAAGGAGAAAAACAAATGAAAAAAAAAAAAAATCACCTTTTTAGGCTAGAGGAGAGCTGCCAGGTGTGATCTGGGTCCATGCCAGCTGGGTCCTTCTGCATGGCCACGAGGAAGATGTTCTTCTCTTTGTAAGAGGTGTAGAGGGTCAAAATCCCCATCATTATGAAGTATGTGCGGATCTGTTAAGGATAAGAACTGAAGCAGTGCTAAGTTTATATTCATTTACACTGTCAAACCTCCAATGCGAATTGTCATCTCCATTCTGTTTGGAGTTTGCTCAGTGAAGGATATGAAATGACACAGCAGGCCAGTACAGGCTTGGACTCTGGGAATGGGTGCAGGTAATCCCAAATTAAAGCAACAACGGCGAAAAGGCAGGAGACCGTGCAAATGAACAGACGTCCATCGACTAAGTTGAAGGTTTCAATGTAGCCATATTTTTCAATCAGAACCTATGGTTGAAACAGAAAGGTGATCAACTTAAAACTCATCTAATGCACAAGTTTACTACAAAAATCAAAAATATGCGAATAAAGCACATGATAAATATATCCACCCACATTAGGGCTGTCAAATTTTTTTTCGAATTTCGAATATTCTTCGAATTTAAAATAAAAATCCACATTTTAGGTGTGCGTTAAGGAGGCAGCCTTATCAGTGGCGCACGAGATGCGATGACGATGTAAGTGTGGTTGCATTTTAATGTTTTTGTTAGCCTATCCAGTTGAAGCCAGTAGATGCGGCGCTGCTGCGTTGTTAATCACAAAATTCAAATTGAGTTTTTCAGCCATTTTGACAGCCCTAACCCACATACAGGTGAGATCAGAATTAGGGATGCACCGGATTTATATATAATATAATATATCTCTGAAGGATCATGTGACACTGAAGACTGGAGTAATGTCTCAAAAAATATGTTTAATAATTTCACAATATTACTGTTTTTACCATATTTTTGATAAAATAGATGCATTATAATGAGGGCTGCACGATTAATCGAATGTGATTGTCATGCGCAATTTGTTAGTAAAGCCGGTTCTGCAATCAGCAGGAAATCATCATCACGTGCTTTAAATTATATGGTTGGTAACCGTCAGATGGGTTACTGAATTTGTTCCCTTGGAATTTTATCCTAAAAGGGTTTAAGAGCTTGTGCATTTAAATACACGAAGTGTTTTATTTAAAATATGATAAACCCGCTTCTGACAGAGAATCACATATACAGTAAGTTAGTCACAGTGCAAAAAGTCTTGCGCATTTTAATATACATTTTGAGTAGAGGAAATGAAAGACAAATGGAAATATGTGCATGTCTCAACTGCAAATAAAGCCATATTTGACATCAGCTTCCTTGTTTCTAACACCATATGCTTGCGTCTTCACGCAGAAGATGATACTAATGATGAGCACGACTCAAAACTTGTGTGCAGTGTTGTGTAATCTTCTGTATCTACACATGTAAACGACATCAAATGGTTTTAATATACATGCTCATTTAATAATATACAAATGCACAATGAATAACGTGCATCCATTTGTACAAGTTTACGTTTTGGCCTCTGACACGCAAACAAGAGGCGACGGTCGCATCAACAATCCGAGTAACGAGTGCAAAAGATGAAATATATATATATATAATAATAATACATTTCTGTTGGGCTCTAAGGATGGCTGCGCAAATATAAACGTATCTCTAAAAATGCGGCATACAATAAAGATTTCTTACTTTTTCCAGTAGACCATTCTTTCCGTTCCTCGCCGCCATCTTTTCTTCCTGTTCATTTGCTGTGACCTGGGTGAGTGTGATTGGTTAAAATCACACAAAAACCGTCCAATAGAAATCGATCTGAAACAGAGCGCCTTGCGGGATACAGTGGCAAGGACGAGCTCTTTGATTGGCTAGACGCGATGACGTTTATCCCTCTGCGGTAAAAACGACAACCTTTTGAAGAAATATCTCATATTTGTGACCCTGGACCACAAAACCAGTCATAAAGGTCAATTTTCCGAATTTTGTGAAGATAGGACACTATTTGGCCGAGATACAACTATTTGAAAATCTGGACTCTGAGGGTGCAAAAAAATCAAAGTATTCAGAAAATCACCTTTAAAGTTGTCCAAATGAAGTTCTTAACAATGCATATTACTAATCAAAAATTAAGTTTTGATATATTTACGGTAGGAAATTTAAAAAATATCTTCATAATCATATGGAACATGATTAATTTCCTAATGATTGTTGGCATAAAAGAAAAATTGATAATTTTGACTCATACAATGTATTTTTGGTTATTGCTACAAATATACCCCAGCGACTTAAGACTGCTTTTGTGCTCCAGGATCACACTGATTCTATTAGTTCATGTAAATAAGCCTCCTTTTGTTAAAGGGTAATTTTAATCTGAGATGCCAGTCCAAGTCACTTGAAATGAAGAACTGTACATCAACATCCACGTTAAATTTTAAAGTGATGAAGACAGTGATGAAAGTTTTTTTTGTTTTTTTTTTTGTCTATGGACGGAACCCTGATTTTCTTGTTCCAGACCACAATGCTCTATCAGAACAAAATATTTTGATTTTGGCCTAGGCTAACCTAAGAATTTATTTGGTAAAACTTAAAAAAAAAAAAAAATTTCAAAACCTGCCCAAGAGATATAAATCTGTTTCACTTTTTGAGTCCCCAGGGACCCACAGTCACCAATCCCACGCTGATCCAGGGTTTCCACCAAGATAATATACCTATAGAGTTATTTCATTCAGGTAGCCTACATTTAGCACCTTTCTTTGCAGAGCTATATATGCAGAGGTATATTTGAAATAAAGTCCAAGACCTCTAGTTCACATTTAACTTTTATCTTCCTTTATTAATTAGATTTTTTTTTAATCTTGATTTTATTCAATGAATTCCTTCAAGGTAAACATGACAAAATATGAAAAGAATGATTGGCAAACGTATCAAATGAAAAAAAAAAGACAATGAATACCTTTAGAAAAGACTAAATGTCTGTCATAAGGGAGTAAGACATGTATACTTAAATACAGAAAAAAAAATATATATAAAACCCTCCTGAGCATCTAATAAGTTGTGTAATAAAAACAAAAAAAAATCTTTAAATACTTTTGAAAACACAAAAGGCATAAACTTTTGTAAATTCTGAATGAATGCTACATTATTTCATTCCCGTCAAGTCAGTTATAATGATATATATATAAAACCCTCCTGAGCATCTAATAAGTTGTGTAATAAAAACAAAACAAAAATCTTTAAATACTTTTGAAAACACAAAAGGCATAAACTTTTGTAAATTCTGAATGAATGCTACATTATTTCATTCCCGTCAAGTCAGTTATAATGATCATAGTGTTTTGTTGACTGAAACAAGAAAATCCTGTTTTTTAAAATGCAATATTTAAAAGATGACATTACAAAGTACTGTTCAAATAAATATAATGTGTGCTTTACTTCTCCACAGAATCCAAACATATGCAACATTCTCTTTCAAATCCAGCAATAACTTTCAACAATGGAAGACAATCCAAGCGCTTTGAAAGCCCATCAGAAACAGTTCCTATTAACATCTTTGCATCAGTATCAATATAGGCAAGTCATATTTCCAAAATAGTACAGCAATGCATAAAAATCTATTTTATCTTCTCCAATAGTACATCTGGTAGCCTACAGAATTGTATATAACTTAAATTACCTACATAAAAAAAGAAAAAAAAACCCACAAAGGAAAGATTGCCCAATTTGCAGAAATCAGACATGCTGGCACATTACAAATAAGTATACAGTATAGAAATGAATCTGTTTGTAATAAAAAAAATAAAAAAAATCAAGATCAAAGGTAGACAGGATTAAATGTATGTGAATTTACATGTGGTCCAACTGAATGTGTCATTTTTCAGCAAAAGTAACATTAAAGCTTTCTTGGCAGACACAAGTCACAAAATAGATCTCTCTAGTAATCAAAGCGTAATAGATAAAGTTCTGAAATGAAAGTAGCCCTTAAGAGTAGTGTGAACATCAAGCTAAAACTGAAATATGGATAAACTACAAAAAATACAATGACAGAAAACCGATGTCTTAAAGCAAATTCTCATACTTGTTTTGCTTGTGTGAGCATTCTAGATTTTTTTTGTTGTTGATGTTGTCGTTGTGGTGTTATATCTTTTGAAGAAGTGTCCAAATGCAGATTAGTTTGGAGAGTGTCAAAACATTTAAAATAGAAAACGAAAAAAGTAGGTTTTAAATAATAATAAAAAAAAAAGACATAAAACAATCAGATTTCTTTAGAAATATTAACTTATGTCAACACTGTTACACAATGCCTTTTAGCGTTTTAAAAAACACTTTATAGATATTTTATTTAATAGGTGTAAAACATTAGCACAGTTAAGCTTAAAACATACTCTACACAAATATGCAAATGCAAACTCTTGCTACTCAAGTTTGATTTTACACGAAGTGTGTAACAAAATGTGTACTGCCTGCAATTCTCATCGCTGCCACAAGGGGTGCTAGCAGGCACAGGAATAAACAGTTATCTATGATCTTCAATGGATTTTATATGGTATACTACTTGCCACCTTCTTTGATGTTTATTTTCCTTCGTCTATTTTGTAAATAGCCTACATCAACGCACACTCCTTAACCACAGATATTACTGTACAGGGCGATACCAATCTTCACGGCCAAAAAAAACGTAATGGTCAACTTCACCAATCAATTATTGCCCTGATGTAACTAAATTGCTATTGGAGTTAAGTACAATAGTCAATTACTGTTTTCAGATGCCATATAAATAGCCAGATAACCAAATGAATGAGAAGAATCTGCCTTAAAAGGTCCCCTGAAGTGCCTTGATACACACAGCATTATTCTATGTGGTGACGTAATTTCAACTGAAACAGGAAGAGAGGGCAGGACATATTGAGCAGCCCCGTCCCCTTTTTAAAATAGCCAATAGCGTTTTGTTTATATCTGCTCGGGCCAGAGCCGTTGAGCTCGGTAAAAAGCCGCATTTGACAGCCACAGTCTAATAGATTACCCCCTAGATTCAATATGAAACTCTTAGTAAAACAAAAGTGGTCATAATCATGCTGAGGCAGTGTAGTTGTAAACGTTTTTAATATATGCCGACTCGCGCATATGATCCGCTCCGTGCAATTGCGTCTCTGGACCGGAGCCAATGTCCAGATCAGACTGTGTGCGCTGCCATGGTTCGCGTAAAACAACGTGAAACCAGACTTCATTTGCACCAATTGAAAGCATATTTACACTGTCTGAATCGTTCCCTATCACCTACATTGTGCACTTCGAGCCATTCACTGTACAGGAAATACTACACTGTGAACAAGTGACCGATCCGCTTCAGCGTCTATTTATAGTGCAGGGGGCGGGCGCTTCGGATTCTAGAGAGCATCTGATTGGTCAGAAGATTTGATGAGAAGATGAAGTACGATGTGACGTCAAAAAATCGTTGAGCCGTTTTGGCGGAAGTGACGATATCTTATATATCTTATAAATGCGAATTTTGTCACTGTTTTGGAGCACATTGCTTTATAGATAAACTTAAGACTAACATATTGATACGAACACCCCAAAAACTTTAATTTTGATTTCATGGGGACTTTAAGTTTAAAGTACACTTCGTTTTTGTACGCATACGCCTTTCAAAGTATACTCCATTTGATAGCGCACGCGAAGTCCGTGAACGCAGGTGGTCGACACATGCGTTCTAGAAAGCTTCATCTTTGTCCAGCGTCTGCTCCATTTTTCTCCAGAAGTCATGATATATAAAAATATTGTACTCTTAAATTTGTACTCTTTTAAACTCAAGTTGCTGCTATCTCATAATCATATCACACAGGGAGAGCTAAAAATACATTTTGGTTAATGGCAGAAACATTTGAAGGCAATTCTATCCCTGCCTTGAATACTGAGGTTTGTTTGCACCACAGTAAAACAAGAACAAAGTAAACAGGTTACGTACAACAAGACTGCGGTCTTGCAAATTGTTAAGCAAGCATTTGCATCTATGTACTTGTGTAGAGTAGTTTTCTAGCCTAAGGCTACAATTTTTACTCGTTTCCACGTAAATTGTTAACAAAAGAGTTGTCTGATAGATGGATGTGTCAAGAGAAATCTTTCAAAGACACTGGAAACAGGTAACGCAAAATAAAAGGTGTTATGCTACAATTTTGTACGAAACACAGGTTCAACAAATGTCCTATGATAACCTTTAAACATGCAAACAAACTTCTTGAGGAGCAATTGTGATTGTGATGAGCACAAAGGGATTGTAAGGAGTACTGTCATCACTGGATTAAAGTACTAAAAAGCCGTATAAATAATTCTGTACATTTTTCTTCCCCCGAACAACATATACACTCTTTTTGAGTAGTAGAAGCCAGTTAAACAGTAACCGAGCTTAAAACAAAACATTGCAGCTTCAAATCCAGATCCCCATAAATGGGAAAGTTGCTGAGAGTCCAAACTTGTCCTACCACCATTTTGCCCCAATCTAAGGCACTTAACCCCAGCTTGCTCTAGGTCAGGGGTGCCCATTCCTGTTCCTGGAGATCAACCTGCAGAGTTCAGATCCAACCCTGATCCAACACAACTGTCTGTATTTATCAAATGCTCCTGAAGATCTTAATTAGCTGGTTCAGTTGAGTTTGATCAGGGTTTAAGCTGAACTTTTTAAGATCTCCAGGAACAGGATTGGCCACCTCTGATCAAGGTGGACTCAATTAATGCAAGTTGCTTTGGATGAAAAGTCAAAAAAGTAAATACCTTATCTTGCAATATTAATCCAGATGTTAGAAAGCCTCTGTAGTGCCTCAACAAAGAAAATGTTTGTGACTGCAACAAATCATTACAATAAAACACTACCATAACCGGAGGTCCCTTTAACAGCTGTAGTTAAAGTGCTCATTTCTTTTGGAGATTCTTCCTGATCTGCGTGTATTGTGTCCTACCGTCCCATCATTTGTAGCCCAGGACCGGAGTTCGTATTTGTCACGACTCGTTTTGTGCCTGTCCACTTTTTGACATTCTCTGTCAAACTGTCTTTGTAGCTTTAGTGCCACTTCTTGGTCCTCCTTATCCCGATTCATTCGCTGGACAATCATATCATCAAGCCTGTCATAGGCACCTGTCCGGGATATTTTTGTCTGTAGGGTGTCTTCCAAATGTTTGGTTTTGTGGCTTCTCTTCTTGCCCCTTCTTGAGGTAGGTCTGTTATGTACACAGCTCCTGGTGGTAGGCTCATTTACGAAGTTCTCGGGGTCTTTCATACCCTGTTTACAGTGTCCAGCGTGTTTATCAAGCATCGCTTCACAAAATTCTGTGGGTTCACAGAGTTCTTCACATCTGCTTCGCCTTTTTGCGGATAAAGTATCTGCAATGGTTTGAGTCGTCGACCTGATGTGAGCGCTAGCAGGCTGTGTACCTTCCTCCTTGCTACACTGATCAAATACAAGCCGTCGTTTATTACAGACTACAGGTTTATCCTTCTGATCCTTAACACTTGAACCACAAATGCACTGATGATCTTGCGAGCTGTCCTTGGCTACAGCACAGCTGCAGAGTCGGCGGTCCTGTTCTTCAACGGGACTCAGTTTAAGGCTTAGATCCTCTGCGATCGGACTCGTGACTGTACCTTTTGAGGTCACCTTGATGCACTGACGATCAACTTCAATCTGCTTCCACTTCTGCAAGATGGTCGGGCTGGCCTCGTAGCTTGTGGACTTGTGCAGAGTGTGTGTCAAGTTCCTTGGGGTTGACTTCACGATCGTAGGCTCCAAAAATCGCCCATCGGGCAACCTTTTGGGTGGAGTGCACGGCGAGCAGACAATAGGCTTGAAATGGTTGAGTTCTTCCGATATGCTATCGTTGCTCTCGGGGCTAATGGACCTCTCTGGTTTCGTTTGAAGTACGAGTGTTGCGGATGAGGTGTGGATGCCCCGCCAGTGGTGTCTCTTATCTAGGCTCAGTACCGGGGCTGAGAAAGAGCGACTGTTTTCCGAGGAGAGAAGGATTCCAGCGTTGTAACTATGAGTGGTGATAGCCTAGAGCGGGGAAAGAGTGGTAGAGTAGCATCACGGACTATAAAAATGACTAATTTGCCTATTGCCAATCCTGCCACAACATTTGCCATTTCCTACTATAGGGGTGTCCAGTCCTGCTCCTAAAGGGTTAAATCCTGCAGAGTTGCCCCAACACACTTGCCTGGAAATTTCCAGTGATCCTGAAGATTTTGATAAGCTGGTTCAGTTGCGTTTAACCAGGATTGGAGGTAAACTTCAGAAGCAGGATATAGGTGTTGTGGCCTAGTGGGTAATGTTTAAGGGTGATTATACACTAAAGCTCTGGCTGTGCATTTGAGAAATAGGAATGCACAAGACCCAATTGGAGGGAGTGGAAAAAATAAAGTCGGTTGTAAAATCAAGTGTGAATATCACAGATTTCACTTCTGAAAGCACAACTCGACCTTCCTGAAATTCTCATTTTTGTGTGGTGCAGATGTAAAAATTTGGTCGAATGACCAAGTGTCACTTTTCAAAATGAAATGTGTCAGCCAGTGTTTTTTGTGTATTTTAAACAAAGTAAGGCTGGCCTGAAGAATCATCACTGTGGACGTAAGCAAGGCGAAAGCAAACTTCTCATGTCCACAATCCATGCCAGATAGTGGCCTGTCTGTGTGACCATGCAGACAACAGCACAGATACGTGTGATTTGAACGCTTGGAAAGAAAGATTCTGTCCATGCTCATGGTCAAAGGAGGTTTGTGTGCTCAACGGTGCGTAAGATGGAATGGAACATACCTGGGCCTATAACCTCAGGTTTCTTTAGGGCAGTGTTTTTGTTGAAATAGGGGTTTCATACAAAAGAGATACTCCAGGAACAGAGTTAAAAACCACTGCTCTGGGTCAGGGTTCTTCAAATCTGACCCTGGAGGCTTTTCAAACTCCTTGGAAAACAATGATTAACCTTGATTCGTTTTTTTTTTAAATTCGTGTTTAATTAGAGTTGGAGGTAAACTCTGCAGAACAGTGGACCTCTAGTGTCGTATATGAAGAACCTGCTCTAGCAAAAAGTATGAAAACTTGCTTTGGATAAATACGTCTTCTATATAGTTTTACTTACTACAAAATTTTATATTCAGCATCTAAAGATGAGAGCCAAATACATTTTTTGAAACAGGACTGGTGTTTTTTCCCCCAACAAATCACCCTAAATAAATTAGACTGATGATTATTTGAACATACTCATTAAAAGCATTAACTGAAATATTATACCTTGTCAGGAACGACATGATGTGTGTGACCTCTGGTTTTTCCTCTTCCATCCTCAGAATCTGTACAGCTCCTGCTCCTCTGAACAGCACTGCTATGAAGACAACTGTAACACAGCACAATGACCGTATGGATGTGGATCTCTTTTTAACACAATCAGAAAACTATTTATTGAGAGAAGCATCAAAATTTAAGTCACAATTTCCTTCATACCGCTATTAGTATTTTTTTTTACTAGTTGTGGTAGTTCCTGTTTGTGGCAGTTATGTCACTATAAAGGCATTTAATTTTAAAATAACGTTTCTCGTTTTTTGTGAATTTTGAGTGAATATTGTTAATATGTTTAAAGGGGTCATATTATGCGATTTCAATTTTTCCTTTCTCTTTGGAGTGTTACAAGCTCTTGGTGCATAAAGAAGATCTGTAAAGTTGCAAAGACTAAAGTCTCAAATCCAAACAGATATTCTTTATAAAAGTTAAGAGTTAACCACGCCTACCTAATTACACCAAATACTCAAAATAATGTTATTTTTAGCAGCATCATATGACCCCTTTAATAAGTGCATGGCTGCAGTCTAGACAAATGGCATCTCTGAATAACTTCTAACATATTATAATTTTTATTTACTTGACACTCTACATGATTTCTATTCCTCTATGCGTTATAGTTCTGATGACTGTTATCCTAAAATGTCATAATAAACAATTATTATTTTTTTGCATAGTAGTGTATCCCATTATGTCAGGCCCTCCACTCTAGAGACAATAAAAAAAAACAAACATATAATTTGACCACAAATAATAAGTATATTTAAAAAAAGATCAGTAAATGATCATGTCAAATTCAAAAGTAAATATAAGTGCAATACCCTCTATTGAAAGCAGGGGAGCATCTTGTTTTTCGCACAAATGCGGAGACATGTCTGGTCCTCTTTCCCACCGGCTCTTCATTCTCAGAGTCTGACACCCCACAGAACTGAAACCCAGTAAACTACTGTGTGAAATGGATGATCATACATAATTGAGCAGAAACTAAACAGTTAAAGGGATAGTTCACAGCAAAAATGAAAATTCTGCCATCATTTACTTTATCCTCATGTCGTTCTAAACCTGCATGAGTTACTTTCATATGTTGAACATAAAAGAGATTTAGAAGAATGCTGGTAATCAAACGTTGATGGTCCCCATTGACTTCCACAGTATGTCTTTCCCTACTATGGAAGTCAATGGGGACCAACAACTGTTTTGTTCTTCAAAATTCTTCAAATATCTTCTTTTGTGTTCAACATAAGAAAGAAAATTGGGTGTTTTGGAATGACATGAGGGTGAGTAAATGATGACAAATTTCATTTTGGGGTAAACTATTCCTTTCATAAAAGAAATATCCCAAATTATGAAGTATGTGAATTAACTGAATGTGTGCGTGTTTAAACCCTGCTTAGACCCAAGTAAGTACCAATGATAGAAAGAAGAGTTTTGAACGTACAGGATATTGACAAAGTTTCAGCATCCCACACTCTTCTTTTCTGTGGATCTTTTTCTTTCTCTCTTCGGTTTCTTCACTGCTTCCACCCTAGAGATAACACTGAGCTTTATATATGACTATTACTGTATTTCAGGCTATAACGAGAAAATATAATAAAACAAGCTTATTAGAAATCAGAAGTGCTTTGCATTTTACCAAATGTCAAATAAGTGCAGGCTATTCTTTACAGCCGGTACAAAAGACGTTTGTGGATGTTTCCACTTTGTTGGAATAGTTCAGGAATTTTATTAAATGTTAATATCATAGCACATATTACCAAAAACATTGTAAAACTATACGTTTATTTGGTTGTAAGTTTTTAAATAAGTTAATGTGAGGAAACTGCAATGAAGAGTGTACTGACTTTACTCTGTAGCTTACCTTCATCTTTTGTTTCTCGTACTCTTGACGCATTTCTCCAGATTTATGAATTGGTACAGGTGCACGAAAAATTTCTAAGAAATGAAAGCATAAATAGGCTATATCAGCAAAAATAGCCAACTGGCTCACTAGATGGACCAGACCATAATAAACACACTGGATGCTCTCTACAAGCTCAGTTCTGTCATTAGCTCCACCCACTGGACACACACATGCCTGGACAAGTCACCACAACTGATCAAGTTTACAAACAACCAGGATACTATAAGCAGTGTTGGGGGTAACGCATTACAAGTAACGCGAGTTACGTAATCAGATTACTTTTTTTCAAGTAACTAGTAAAGTAACGGATTACTTTTTAATTTACAAGAGAATACCGGAGCTACTTTTTCAAATAAGTACTGCAAGTTACTTTTTTTTCCCAATTTATTGATTGACAGCTCTCCTGTCCCCATGTTGAGAGAAATCAGAAACTATAAGTCTTTAAAGTATAGCAAGTCAGATGTGAGCAAGAAACATACAGAAAGCTAAAAGTCAAATAAACATTAAAAAAACTACTTTTAAGTAACGTTACTTCGTTCATATTACATGATTTGATCCGGTTTTACCAAACTAGAGTGTTTGCTCCCTTGATGTTCTTGCCTTCGAAAACAGAATGCTGAACAGTTTGACATAAAATCAGCAAAACGCCACAACCAAACCCAAATGTACATACTCCAACACTTATGTTTAAAGTTTTTTTTGGCAAAACAAGCCTTTACATTTTTCAAAATTGTGTTTAGTAGCCAGCGGAATACAACAGAGTACTCTGCGTCCCAATGTGCACACCATCCATCCTAAATTCTATGTGATATTAGTAATTTTGAATACTATTTAGGGCAGATAGGGTGGATAGTTTGCACATTGGGACACAGGGATGTTTTTGAAGTTGAAAACGCAACGCGGGAGAGACGCGACGCAACTGGGCGTTTATACACAGACCAAACATAAGAAAAAACCAGCGCAGACGGAACGCGTCATGTGTGAACGCCCCCCAACAAAACAGTGCGGTTTTCCTTCCAGATTCCAGTTTAAAAAAAAACTACTTACTTGTTTTTTTAACCTTTACGTTGTTACGTTGTCCAGTGCAAAAATAGTACATTTATAAAATAAATACAATGTTTTAGTTTTATTTCTAACAATTCAAATTTATCGACTGAACTGAAATCAGTGAAGCTGGAAAACGGTCATGCCGCGATTTGTCGAAGCGTAAATAATGACTTAAAACTCATGATTATGTAATCTGTCGAGCCCCACGAACCTCCGTCGGCGGTCTGTCCGTCTCTCTGCTCCATCCTCCGCCTGCATCTCTCCGGGTGGCTGAGGCGGATCAGCTCCCAGAGCTCGGCGTTCACCAGGCTCTTCTCCCGGGACTGTTTCCGGGCCCAGCTGGACACCCGCAGCCGGCACAGCGGACAGCACAGGCTGGTCAGCTTCACCGTGCGCTGGAAGCAGTGCAGGCACACCGAGTGTCCACAGGGCATCGTCACCGGCTCCAGCAGGATCTCGGAGCACACCGGGCACCGGGCCTCCTCCAGACTCAGAGGAGCGCTTCTCTGCCCGAGTCCAGCGGATTTGGCGGACCCCAGCGCCGCCATCTTTATTGCTGTGAGCCTGCGTCTGGGTTTGAAAACAAGCCCCGCCCAGCCATGGCGTCACATGCAGCGGTTGAACGACAGATTTACAGTATTTACAATAACTACTTCTATTATTATTATTATTATTGTTATTGTTATTATTATTATTACTGTTGTTGTTGTTTTATACAGTGGCCACAAAGTACTGGGGCATTTAAATAACTTCTAAAAAGTAATTAAAGTAACATGTTTTATCATTTTAAACAAATAAATGTTATAACAAACAACAATTAATATTCTGAATACTCTGCAATTTCTAGGTGACCAATGAAAAGTAAACAAATTGTGACAATGAAAATGCTCTTGGGAAAACTACCATTCAAAAGTTTAGGTCAAGTAGGATTTATGTATTTATTTATTTATTTTAATAGTGAAATTAATTATTTTATCCAAAAAAAGATGTGTTAAATTGAATAAGTGTTACTGTACAGGCCTTTACATTGTTACAAAAAAATATATATAAAAACACGTATTATTTATTTATTTTAAATTATTTATTTATTTTGAATATTCATAAAAATAAAAATAAAACCCTGAACCGCATCATGGCTTCCACAAATATATCAACATTAATAATAAGAAATATTTTGTGAGCACCAAATCAGCATATAGAGTGATTTGTGAAGAAATAGCTATGTGACACTGAACTACATTTTACAATTTATTAAAATAGAAATAAAGTTGCAGAAAAAAATGCAGTTTTGGTGAGCCTTGGTAAAACTTTCATAATAATAATAATAATAATATACTTTGATACTAATATACATATACTTTGAAGTTATTTTAAATAACTGCTTTGAAACTATCTATATTGTATAAAGCACTATATAAATAAATGTGAATTAAAAAAATCAAATAGTTGTAAATTTTGTACTTCATGAAATGCTACACTGGTGAACAAACTATTCTTTTTTAAAGAAATTAATCCACTTAAAAAATATATTTTAATAGTTGTGATAGAAATGTTTTACATTACTTTTGTAAACAAATATAAAAATAATTCCAACACATGCATTTTATTTGATACTATTATTCAAAATGGGCAAATTATTAATAATAAATAACACACAGAGGTGTCCAAACTTTCGACCAGTAATCAGGTTTCAACAAAACGTAAGAGCTTCATTTCTTATTTTCATTTTATACAGTGGCCACAAAGCACACTTAAATTACTCTTAAAATGTAATTAATTATTATAATACTATTCTATATATTACAATTCCAATGTTTTGTATGAGGAATATCAACTTTTGCCAGCGAATAGAAGACTGAGAGTACCATCAGAATAGGGGGTCTAAGTAGGCTGCAGGATTCTGAGGAATGGAAGGTACTTAAGTATTTGCACTGCAGATGCCTTTGTTTGTGTGTGTGTGTGTGTGCATGTTTATGTGGTTTATGAGGACACAAATTTGTATAATAACATGGGTATGACATATATTACAACGAGAAGGTGATTTATGAGGACATTTTCAGTGTCCCCGTAATTCAAAAGGCTTATAAATAATTCAGAATTAGTTTTTTTGAAAATCTAAAAATGCAGAAAGTTTCCTGTGAGGGGTAGGTTTAGGGGTAGGGTTGGTGTAGGGCAATAGAAAATACGGTTTGTACAGTATAAAAACCATTACGCCTATGGAGAGTCCCAATAAACCATAAAAACAAACCTGTGTGTGTGTGTGTGTTGTATTGTGTAATGTGTATTGATGTGAATTAATGTTAGACAGTAAACGCTATGAGATGCAAGACAATTTTTGGAAGAAATTCCAACAATAAAGTGAAAATTTAATTGAATTGTATTCAGAATACCAAAGTAAGTGACACTTCATTGAAAAAGATATATTTCATTGCATACATGACAGAGAGAAATGTTAGTGAAGAAGTTAGTTCTAGGATCTTTTGTTTGTGTCATGTATGGCATTTTATTAATAACCCCAATTTAGTAACCCCAAAACGTCTCCGGTTACTATTGTAACCTCGGTTCCCTGAGAGCTGGAACGAGACATCGCGGAGGTTTCTCCGCTTTCTGAGGTTTGCCTTCGAGGGCACTGAGTACCAGTACTGAAAAAAAGAAAGAAAAAAACACCTCTGCGATATCTCGTGAAAGCTCGAAAGGGAACTATACATTTGCAAGGTTGCACATATATTAGAACAGGGCCGGAGTGGGACTCATTTTCAGCCCTGGAGTTTCATGCCTTAGACCGGCCCCTAGGCCACTAGGCCTAGATGCCTACTAGGCCTACTAGGCCACTGATATGGTGGTGAATGTTATTTCATTCATTGCCAGAAGATGATATAGTTTACAACCAGACAGCAGACAATTCACAACCTGACAACATGGAGAATGTTGAACGGGGTAAGTTAAGACATGGATCATCACACCAGCATACAAAAAATAAAAAATGTCCACAGATACGTTTATAGGTTTATTTCATTTGTTGCAGGCAGTGATGTATTCAACAAATGATAACAACTAATAACAGACACAGTTTTAAAGCATCGCAAGCTACAAATGAAGAGCACAAAGAACTGAAATCAATGTATAGGCTACAACTAGCTGAAGTTTGCTGTGCTTTATCCTAACATTACACAAAGAATGCCTGCAATCATTCAGTCAGGGACGACTGCACAAAACGTGCACTGTAAACAAATAAAACATTATTAACTGTTACGAAATGATAATATTTCATTTGTTGCAGGCAGTGATGTATTCAACAAATGATAACAACTAATAACAGACAGTTTTAAAGCATCGCAAGCTACAAATGAAGAGCACAAAGAACTGAAATCAATGTATAGGCTACAACTAGCTGAAGTTTGCTGTGCTTTATCCTAACATTACACAAATAATGCCTGCAATCATTCAGTCAGGGATGACTGCACAAAATGTGCACTGTAAACTAATAAAAACATTATAAACTGTTACGAAATGATAAACAAATGTAGTTTTTGCAACACTGTAAATATATTTACCTTTTTTAAAAATATATATTCCATTAAACCTGCTGAGATACAAGGAGGGTGAACCGAAATTCTCAGTTCCACTTGGTTCCACGCGCATGTCCGGGAAACTCATGAATATTCATATATGCTCCGCCCACTGAAACAGAAAATCTCGGAAACCGAAAATCTCGTAACACCGGCCCACCGGGAATCCTCCCGGTGCTCACGATTAGCCAATCCGGGCCTGTATTAGAAGTTCTCAATTTAAAAAAAAAAATGCTATCTATTATTATTATTTATTTGTTGTATTTATTATTATTATTATTATTTATTTTGTAATGATGACGTTCATTTTTTTTTGTAAACGGTCTCTTTAAAGCAGCACAATGTAACTTTTTCTGTTCAAAATTTGCCAAATGTATATAATGAGCGAGTACATCATGAATTCATCTTCCAAACCGCGTTTTTGTCTTATTCCGAATCACTCCGGTACACTTATAATAAGTACGGTACTTATATTTGGACTATTGTAGCCTGGTCACCGCTGCGGAGTAACACATACCTGCGTGAATCGCCATAGAGATAAACTTAGAGAAGTAGCTCCGGTTGGAATGTTCTTCCGCGGGATGTGTGCAGTTCTGTTTATTAACCGCTAGAGCGCCAAATGTTACATAGTGCTGCTTTAAAGTAGGTAGCGCACCAAACCAGTCGATGGCAGTAAAGCGCCACGCTCTCCGCCTTCACTCTGTGGAGTTAAAGCAGAGTAAGATCTGTACTGGCAGGTCCTGTCCCAAATTGTGCACTCATGTGCACTTGAGGTCTTACGCAGCCCGCACAGGGGCGAGCTCCACAGCAGACTTCTACCCGACAGTCAAAGCGGCATTACGTCACGAAAGTGCGGACTCAGAGGAAGACCGCGAGGGTTTAGGGTGCCATTTGGAACAGGGCCGCAGTATGGCAGCGTACAGTAAGAAATGACTCTCCTTTACATCCGTTTATGTTTGTACTTGTTGTTTTCGTTCGGTGGATCTGGTGTTAAATGAGGACATTACAGTTAGTGTTGGATTCCTCTTGAAATGTTGCAGGTCAATTGCAAATGTTTTTTTGTTTGTTTTTTTGTCTACTGATTTTCCTTGCCAACTTTCTATCATTCTATCTTTCTGTCATTGCACCGGGTTTGTAGTTGATTAATGACATACAATTCATTTGTTTGTTTGCAGCACTTTCTTTTACTTCACTACACATTTTCACAATTGTTATTATTATTGTAATCTGGGCATAATAATATAGCCTACACATAACGATTCCATAAAACCTCATTCCTCTTTATAAAATAATAATAATAATAATAATAAATCGTTTTTTTTTTTTTACTAATGTTTATATTTAATTTTATTTCAGCTTTATTTTAATTAACAAAAATGTTTTAACAGTTTTAGATGCAGTATATCATGTCACACTATTAGTGATTCACATTCCAACCTCTTATGGATCAATACAAATAAAATACAGGAAGTAATCGTGACCTTGTGTTTTCTGTCTCTTTAGCTGATGCTTCAAAAGCCTAAGTGAGGACACAATGACAGTCGCGAGGGCAGCTGTGAAGGTGGTGCGTTTAGGGAGGATTTCCTACCGCAGTGCCTTGAAGGTCCAGCAGCAGCACATAAAGCAGCATCTGGATTCGTCCAGCTGCAGCCCAAACACTTTATTACTGTGTGAACACGAGCCTGTGTACACCGTGGGCATCAGACGGGCTCCTTACCCTCCTGAGGAGGAGCAGAGACTCAAAGCGCTGGGCGCAGACTTCTTCCGTACCAACCGAGGAGGTCTAATAACGTTTCACGGTCCTGGTCAGCTGGTGTGTTATCCCGTCCTCAACCTGGCCTGCTTTAAGAAGAGTGTGAGATGGTATGTGTGTGAACTGGAAAGGACGGTGATCAAGATGTGCAGTCAATTTGGGATCGAAGCCTGCACCTCTCCGGATACAGGTGTCTGGGTGGGCGACAACAAAATCTGTGCAATTGGTAAGTACATTTTTAATTTTGTTTTGTTTTTTTCTTTATATGCGTCGATTACAGGTCAAAAGTTTGGACACCT